ACGACACTCAGCTCTGGCACCCAGATAGGGTGAACATATTTCCAATGGGGGTAGTATCAAAGCATTTAAAGGACAAATACCTCACAATGGCAATTAAACAGATCAGAAGAGGTAAAAGAATGGAGGCTTTAGCATGAGCAGGACTTGCAGGAGCGAAATTAAGAGTGTTACCCTATGTTTTTGCCTTAGCAATTCCAACCACAGTCAAAACCACTATTTATTCTTTGTGTTAAGTGATCAGGAGTAACTTGTGAGTTTTGATGCCCAGCTCAAAAGACCTTAATAGTATTTTGTAAACAAGAAATATATAGACCTATGTGTCATATTAGTTTATCCTTACAGTTTTCTCCTGGTCTTCAAAGGCTTCTCTTGCCTCTTCTTTCGAGCAGCGCTCCTCATTGCATTCTCTTTCAATATTCCCTTTCTTCAACTCCTCCCAAAAAGAGTTAGCACGTTTTGTTCTTTCCAAGAACTTGTCGGCATTTTCTTTCTTGATGAATACTAGACGATAGGGGAAATGACACAGGTGGCAGGTAACATTTGGTGGTGCTACAGTCATTAGAAACAAGTGACGTAGAAACAAAACCAAAACAGACCCTTTCACCATTCTACCCATACACACCATTACCTGTGAGGTTAGTCCTCACAAGGACTGATACATCTCAGGACCTCTCGAGGCAGTGTCTCTCTGAGAGTCATTAACTCCAGGACAAACTGTAGGCCCCCAATATTCTCTCCTGTGGTTTTTAGTCTTGAAAATAACACAGGTTGCCGCTGAGGGCTTATATTTCTGTTGTTCCAGCTCAAGACTCCAGTCTTGAACAGAATGGCTCTCCCTGAAGGCCAGGGAGACTGCATTCCTTGATTTGGTTTTAAAGCTGACCACCAGGCAACACCACCACCTGCTCCAGGGGCCTGTGGGGTTGAAACTAAATGCCACACAAACTCAAGTTACAGCCAGGTATCTACTGACAGATGGGAAAAGCTCATGCATGAGTTCTGCTGCCCTTCACCACCCCGAGTCCCACCGTACTGCCCTGTGGTCTTCCTTCCCCCTCAACACCACCTTCCAGTCGCTTGCAGAAATGGTCCTGCCTTACTGATATGTGTGCCCATAGAGCTAAGGCAGCTGCAGTCTAAGATTTAGCAAAGAGCAGAAATAAATGAACATCAGTACAGCTTGAGGTCAGTTTGATGGGTTGTTCTATTTTTTTAAAAGCTTGGTGTCACACAAGTGTATGACCTGCTGTCTTCAAGTTCAAGATGCAGTTAGCTGTTGATTTAAACTGAAGGGTCAGAGACACTAAACTCAGCTCAGTCACTTGGCTGCATGAACAACAGCATTACTCTCTGGTGACTTGTGTACACATTACCAGACAGGAAAACCAAACAACACTGGACTAAATAAATTGCCAATTACCCTGTAAAAAGCACATATTCTAGGAAAGTTTGCAGAGTTTGGAAGCTGGCATTTAATTATCTTATAAACACCTGGTATTTAAAGAGAAAAAATACTTTCCAATCACAGACTGGAGTGTGGAAGAGAGTGTTGCAGATGGGATTTCAAGGCTAATGGCTTATACTCAGTGGACATCTTACATGTGCCTTCTGGCGCATTCCTCATGCAGCTCAATTCAGCAATAAATCAACTCACTGATAGTAATCATATACCCTAGCATCCTCTAAGCAAACACAGAGGGGACTTACACTGCTTTCACTGAAATTGGTGGATCAGCCACAGCGAGTCAAATTTTGCTAATGCTATTTATATTAAGCCATCCCATAGAGCCCACGCATAATCTGAAACCTCACTTATTCTGAAAAGGCTCCTCGCAAGGAAGAGTTATAGCAAGTATTTGTAACTTGTAGGTCAGCAACTGTTAGTTCATTCACCCACTATCTTATTTGCCCTTAAATCCCTCTCCGCAGTGACAGGAAAGTGACAGGGCACAGCCGGTGGGGTTATCGCTTCTATATTCCTTTGCCTCCACATCACCCACATAAGCGGATGTTTTTGTAAACTTGAACCAGCCGATTAGTTTTCTGAGGCTGGTCATTCTCTTTCCCAAGCTTTCTGTCATGCTTCCTTCTTTGGCGACATCAAGGAGCAACAGGCGTTGGTCAACTGAGTAGGACATTCCAGAAACCTGCGAAAGACCTCATTTTAAAGCCTAAGCGGGCTGACTCACTGAAGGAAGACGTAAAGACTTTTGAAAAGCCACTTGTTGATGCTGCTCCGGACTTTGGTGTTGACCTTAGCGGCACAAACAGAGGCCGGCGGGACATGCCTGCCCCCTCTCCCCTTGCACCCCAGCCCCTCCACAGCCAAGCGCACCCAACCAAGCCTCGGCCGGGCTTCCCCCTCACGGACACCAGCACCCCAGGGGGGCGGCACAGGTGCAGACAAGCCCTCAGCCGTTTTGGGAACCGAGCCCCCCGCCCTCTCCGGGGAAAGGCGAGCCCCGGGGTGCCCGCTCCCGTCCCCCGCCGCTTCCCTCGGGCCGCAGCCCCCCGCGGTGGCGGGGCCGCCGGGCGGGAGGGCTCTCCCCCCTCACGCACCGTGGGGTGCGAGCCCGACACCGCAGCCTCCCCCCCCCCCCCCCCCAGAAGGTTGTGAGGAGGGAGACACCTCCCCACCCCCTCCAAAAAAAAAAAAAAAAAAAAAAAAAAAAAAGGTGTCGCCTTACCGCCTCCTTCAGCCCGGAGCTCTCCCGCCAGCGCCGCGCACAGCAGCAGGAGCAGCAGGCGGCCGGCCATGGTGGCACGGAGCCCCCCGCGCCTGCTGCAGGCCCTGCGGGGCCGCGCCGCCCCACGGCGGGACGGACGGGACGGGACGGGACGGACGGACGGACGGACGGACGGACGGGACGAGAGCCGAAGCCTTCACCCCCCCAGGCGGGGAGAGACTGAAGCGGCGTTGCTTCACCCTGCCCAGAAATAGCGGAAGCGCCGGGGAAGGGGGAAAAGCCGCCTGCGGATTTCTCAGCGTGGGGGGGTGTGTGTGGGGGGCGGCCTGATGATGAGGCTCTTCTTTCTTTCTTTTTTTTTTTTGAAACTTAAGGAAGCCGGCTTTTTTTAATTGCACCTTTTATTTGCGGGGGAGGGGCAGTGAACCGTCCCTTTAATAGGGGCGCTGGCAGGTGTGGGGCTGGCTGCCAGGCCGAGCAGGGCCGGAGCCGGGTTCCCTCACCAAAACACTCGCCACCCTCGGCAGCGCCCACCCGTGTCTCCCACATCCCCGCACCGTAATCTGCTGGCTTCGGCCTGGCACTCACCAGGAGCTGGCCTCCATCTCCCCCTTTTTGGGCGGGGGGGGGTTTGCCTCGGTTGTCCTCAGCAAGGTCTCTGCGCTGTGGAGGCCACGTCTTCGGTGCTTCCAGAGCCTGCTGTCACGTCTCCTTCACCTTTTTGACTTGCTTAAACAGGCTGTTACATTAAAAATATACCTAAGCCCTTGCGTTCTTTTAAAAACTCGCTCTGTACAGCCATTCGTACTGGTTGGGGGTTTTTCAGCATTTTGCCCAATTTCTGCAAGATGATTTGTTCATACATGTCAATATTTACACTGGAACGTTACAGAAAAGAAATCATCCTATGGAGCATGGAAGACTCAAAACTCTTCCAGCTTGAGGAATCTGGAGGGATGGTTTTGCATTGCTGAGTGCCTCATCTCTGTGAAAACGAAGCTTTATTTGTTGGTCACTGCTCCTAGTCACCTTCCTTCCTGGGAATATATTCTGCTTTCCTTTTAGGAGTAATGAGAACCTCTGGGTTATGTTTTCATACTGTAAGACCTCTTGTTTCTCAGGTCTCTGGATTTTGCTGCTTTTCCCAATTCAGTTCATTACTTAAATGAACAATATACCATTCTTCTATGTCAGTAAAGCAGGTTATAGGATGTTCAGTATTGCATGGTGTACATACCATATAGTGTCAATGTTTCCCCCTAATAATAGAGTATGGTGAATTTTAAATGTCCTATTGTTGATCAACTTTTGAGATTGAGCTGATAGTCAGCATGATTTGAATGAATCCAAAGTGTAAATTTTGCATAAGATACTGAACCTGTTTTCTAATCTCCTGGTCAGTTTTATCTCCCTCACCTTTTCACTGTTTTCATGCTTAGATTAGAAGGTACATTTTTTAATGATATAGTTGATGGTGGTTTTAGTGTGTTTCAGGTTCTACCATTTATACATTAAGGCTTTTGAGAATGGTCTTAGACCAGTGTTTTGCAGATGGTCAGACAATTACCCTATTCTGGTTTTAAATCTCAGGAGAGAGAGTACAATTTAGATTATACTGGACAACAAATGAAACAAACATTCCCTTTCATTTGTCCTCTTCTGTATTGTTGAGCATAATACCAAGGCAAAGATAAGATTAAATCAGTGGTATTCTTTACTGCTCATAAATATAGGGTTAAATATTAATAGCCTTTCTGCAGTAATGCTAGGGTGCAAGAAGACTCAAATCAAGTTTTCGTAGCAGACCTGTAAGTGTGGAAATAACCTTTTCCCAGCTTTCATGTCCTGAAGACTTTCTACAGTTCCTCCCCCTCAAATCTACCTGTTGCCACTGCATCTGTTGGAGAAAGCTACTTTAACATCAGCCAGAAGAAACACTTTTTCTATTTCTTCTGCTATTGCATCATTATATTACAGGACCCACCAGCATAGGAAGTTGTGAAAGCCAGCAGCATAAATGTGTTCAAAAGAGATTGCACACATTTGTGGACAGCAGGTTCATTCATGACTATTCAACCTAATGCAACTTCTGGCTCAGGAAGTCTGTCCGTCGCTGATTACCAGAAGTTGAGAGGGTAGCTGGAGGAAGGATCATGGTGTGCTTTATGTGTTGCTGGCAGTCCTTCTAGTTCTGTCCCTTAGCAGAAATGGGTGCAGAATGAGAGGGACTCTGAGTCCGATTTGTTAAGGCCATTCCATGCCCTCTTGGCAAGACACGCAAGTTTACAAACAATACCAGTAGGAAAGTTATTTTATATATTCAAGTAGGCATCAAGCTCATTTCAAATCATTAACAGTGGTGTGGGTATCACATGTATCACACATCTAAGATAATGGAGGAATGCCTCAATAGGAAAATGGCACAGAAGAATTGGGGGGCAATAACACAAACTGGAATGCTCTGATTCAAGATCATTAATCCATGTGCTTCTTCAACCAGTCGATGTATTTGGATACCCTTGTGTAAACCCCATAGCTGCCTTGAGCAGCACAGCCCTTTCCCCAGCTGACAATCCCGGTCAGAAACCAAGTGTTCTTGTACTTTGTAGCGTGAGGTCCACCACTGTCTCCCTTGCAGGAGTCCTTAACGCCGGTCAGGTCTCCTGCACAGAACATATTCTCTGTAAGATTTAAATCGGTCTCCTTTTCACATTCTTGTGTCTTTACACGTGGCAAATCAACTCTCATCAGAACAGAGGAGGTGGCACCTCCATCTAGTAGGCGTCCCCAGCCGCTCACTGTGGAGAACTTGATGGAGGACAGTTCATACACTGCAAACCGTTTTTCAGGCAAACATATTGGCACCACGTAGTCGGTGAGATTCACGGGTGTTTCCAGGCTCAGGAGGGCAATATCGTTATTGACTTGTCCATTCGTGTATTCTTCATGCATGATTATCCTGTCAACTCCACTTTCTTGCTCAGTTTTCTCATCATAATTTATTGCATGTTCACCTGGAAGTTATTAATGGCAGGTTATGTCAGGCAGCTCCTTGAGTCCTCAGGAGTTTGAGGAGATAGGGGTCAATTAAGGACAATTCCCTTATACTACCAAAGCCTGCACTTTTTCACTTTGTCAGGTTGAGAAGCTGCCACCACAACCACGGCTCAATAACACGAGGAGGGGAAGATACATACCCAGTCTCACCCGGAGCTGTTTAGCATGAGTATACTCCAAACAGTGAGCTGCAGTGACCACCCACTCTGGGGAAAGCAGGGTACCGCCACACTTTTCTTTCTGATTCTGTATTATAAGGGCCTGCCAACACAAAGCAAATTTATGCCTTACATCAAATGTGCTTGACCTGAATCTCAGTAGCTTCAAGTTTCATATTGCTTCTTTCTGACATTTTATGCAACTGTGTTTGAGAATGCTGTGCTGATTGCATGGAGAATTTTGGCAGGGGAATCTTCCCATTGATATTTTCTCCAGCTTGTAGTGTGGACCCTGCCTTTTATGGCCAAGAGCATATCCCCACAAACTGCAACTAAAATTCCTGCTGGCAGGAAGGTTAGGGACTAAGGAGTCAGGAGATAGAGGAGGCTGTATTTTCACTTCACTCCTATGAAAACAGGCACTCCAGAACAAGGCTAAGTTGCATGACTGAAACGGGTGGATCGGCTGGCTATGGGTGAAGAAGAAATTGGGTTATCCAGAACCGGCACTTTTTATGGATTTTTTGTAACATAATAGATTTAAAACAATGAATTTAAGATAGTGGTTTCATAAGGAAAAAAAAAAAAAAAAGGCAGATAAAGATTTCTGAAGACTCACTTGCCATGGACATTCTCCTGGAGGACAGATGAAACCACCTACTATTCTCCCTCGTGCAGTTGCATTTTTTTTTGCCAGCACTGGTATTTTTCCACATGGGTATTTTACTGAAAAAAAAAAAAAACAAAAAACAAAAACCCAAACGGCAGTAAGTGGGATTTTATTGCACTGAATTCACAGTAAAATGTGTAAGGTCCTCACTGAAGTTATATTATCTGGAAAACTGGTTTCTGGTCTGGGAGCATGGGTTCTCAAAGGTAATTTAAAGCAGCTCAGCAGGTAAGTAGTCTTTTTGTTTGGAAACAGCCAGAAATGCCTTCACAAATAGAGTGCAGGCCCATACATTATCATTGACATATATTCACCTGCCACAGGAGTTTGCAAACAATATGCCTGCTTAAGAGATAGGTCAACACAGTGAGGTCGGCTGCGGACTGGAGAGCAGAAATGGCTCTGTCAAGCTTCGTAGCCTATCTATTTTCAGCAACCCTGCCGACTTTAACTCTGCTGTACTAAGTGCACAGCATCCACAGCACGATGAGACACAGGCTTAAGCATGAGACGTGCAGCTTGCTGTCCCTTGAGTGGACCCGAAGATCTCCTGAGAGGAGGCAGTGTGTGTTCTGGTATGCCTCCTGGCAGACTGTGCCTCATGCTCAGCTGCAGCCCAGAGCATCCCCGATTCTTCCGGACGGCACGTCTCAGTCTAAGGTCTGTTTTCGACTGAACCTGCAACTGAGCTGCAGTGCAGAGGAAGCCTTGGGGTTTTCAGTACATCCTTCACCCAACAGCTCTCCTTTCAAGGAGGAGGTCTACCTTTGGGGTTTTTTTTGTGTGCTGCTTGTCTGTGCTGTAGCTGAGCACGCTGTCCCTCCCACCCAGCAGTCACCCTGCGATAACGCTGTAAGGAAGAGCGCTCACTTCCTAGCACTTTGGGAGCCAGGGCCCTATAGTCTTATGCTGAGCTGAACCCGACATCTCCACGGATCTGTAATAGCCTGAACAAACCGATTACTTCAGTTGACATGACGACAGCATCAGGTTTTTATAGGTACAGGCAAAGCATGGAGAAACAGGACTAGCTCTTTGGTGGCAGCGGGTAGAAGACCAGAGCAGATGTAACACAAACCCATACCCTCTAAAGCTGTATGCAGGGCAACGCAAGTTTGGGCATCTGAAAAGGCTGTTGTGAGAGGTGACAGAAGGACCGTGAAGGGGCTGGCAGTCTGGCAGTTACACAGTTTTGTCTCCCTGCAACACACCATCAGCGCTACAGCTATTTTGGTCCCCAAGAAGCATCAGCAACAAATTTATCTTCCTCACTGGAGAAGAAGATATGCTGAAAAGCCTGTGGGGAATATTGAATTCTTTGTTCTCAGCTTTTGACAAACACAGCTTCCCCATCATGTGATATTGCAGAATCTGTTAATAAGGGATAAGCACATTAGTAGACTTTTTTCCCTAATGAAATTGCTGTTGTTGAGAAGTAGGTTGTCATTATCAGTTCTCTGCATGAGTGCTCCACTGAGGTGTCTGTAGGGGGTATCACCCCTCAGAAATACTTAGTACGCTCCCTGCAGCTCTGTCTGTTATGTTCAGATCCCCAGAGGTCTATTTTTTCCCTCTAATAAAGTAATTCAGGTATTGGAAAAATAACTAACTTGCACTATGCTAGTCCCAGTTGAAATATACCTTGTCAAATGAGTGAGAGAAATATCTAGCCGTAGTGTCTAGAGGAATACCAAAAGTGTGTTAGTCCTACCAAATAGGAAAAAAAAAAAAAAAAAAAAAAGGAGAGAAAAAGAGGAAAAGGAAAGAGGAAAAGGAAAAAGAAAAAAGAATAACTGGTTTTCTTTGGTTTTAATAGGCCTCTTCCTCTCTTGACTCCTGTGCTGAAATAAGTATGGTAATAGAAACTAAAGTCACAGTTTCAGATTGGAGATCCAGCAGTAAAAGAATGTTGCCCCTACAGCGTTTTCCCACCATGGGTGTAAGCTAAAACAAAAAAGGACTTGTGAGGCCCGGAGCTCCTCCACTCCCCAGAAAACACTAGGCCTGACCCCAAAACCCTGGCTACCTGCTGCTCTGCTGTATTTAGACCAACTGGCTGTGAACTTGTCTCCACTGCCCAGTTCTTCTCTGCTAGACCAGTGGCGAGAGTGCTCCCCGAGGAGGGGACAGGGGCTCAGCTCCCTCCTCGCTCCTGGCCCGTGGGACGTTCAAACTCGAACTTCTCCTGTTCCAGAGAGGTGGACGTCTGGGCCCAGGAAGAGAAGTCCAAAAGGCTCCCTGCTTGGTGTGCACACTTTGCCAGCTGCTTTTCTGGGGTGTCTAACTTCCACCAGGAGCCCAAACATACTGCTCCGGACTCTGCCCTTGAAGGAGAGGTGAGGAGCTGGTGGCTAAGGGTTGTACCTTGCACCGCCTGATGTGTACATGTTGAAAACTTTCTCTTCCAGATCTGGCTTGGACTTACCATAGGGCTAGTAGTGTCTTACCTTGGGGAATGCAGGACACGCCATCACTTGCTAAAGTGTAATCGTCTGCACAGAAGCACACTCGTTTTCCAGACTCCTCGTCGGTACAGTACTGTTCACAGCCACCGTTGTCGTAAATGCACTTCAGTTTGTCAGCCATGGCTAAAGTCAGAGAAAGAGCGTTTAGGTTTCCAAATGTGGATTTTGGTGCTTAACGTGAATCAATTGCAACTTGAAATCCTGACAGAGAAGCAAGGCAGCAAAGCAGGTTTCTGTGATTTATGTACAGTGACTGCATCAAAAGCACCTTCCATTTGGCAAAAGCTAGGTAGGACTGGATCTCCAGGGATTAGGAAAGGACAGGCTGTGCTTAAGAAACACACCTAAAATTAAATAACTCTGCATTTATGCCGTAGCCGAGCTGTCTAAAGGATGGAGGTGTTGTAATTGTGTGGTAACACATGACTGAAGCTATTTTATATTTTGTCATTTGGCAGAAGGATGCCCTGGGATGACCGTTCAGATTGCCTGGTTAGACTTGATGAGTGCCTAGTCCTTGTTTGGGCTCAGCGTGTTCTGAGTATAAGTGTAACAACACGCAGTGCCCGCTGAAATCAATGGAAAGACATATATTGACTTAATTAACCACTGGTCCTGTCCCCTTGGGCTTTGTATGATGCACGTGCAGCGTAGTTCTCATTCACATACTGCACCCAGCTTCTAAGTCAAAATAACTTCAGCACTTCTGTAGGAAAAAAATTCCTTCTTTTCTCTCAGATGGTGCACAAAAGGCAATTTTTTTTTTTATTTTTTTTTTTTTTTTACAAAGTCATCCCAGGGTGATAATTATCTTGCTGCCTTGCAGTGCTTGACTGCCAGCTGGTTAGATCCATCATGCAGCACCGCAGGCAGTGTGAACAGTATCTGTCACGGCTAGAATGATGCAGAATGATAACGATTCCTGCTGTTTATCTCAATGCCTTGCGTTTGAATTAATAATGGCATTTTTATTTTGTTGATCTAGGCCAGAGCTGACCTTTTTCACAGCTTTTGCCCTCATAATCAACGGGACAGCGGCAAACGTAATCCTGAAACTGGTCGTCACAGCTCCCTCCGTTCTGACAGGGGTTGGAGTCGCACTGGTTGGGGTCTGTAAAAACATTCAGTGTCAGTCCGGCTCACGCGAAGAGCTGCAGTGGCAGGAGTGGGTTTGCAGCTGTTGGAACATCCCGAATGATCATACCGGAATAGATGTGCCAAAACTCTTTCTGGAAGAAAAAGATAGGAGATTTAATTAAAGAAAAATTAACTCGGGTTAAGTCCTACAGCCCTTGTAGCACAGGAGGGGTTAGAGACAGCCACAGTGATGCCCCTTTTGCCTTTATTATTTATGACAGTTGTTATCCATAAAATATTTTACATTATTTTCTACATTCTACATTATTTTCATATACCAATAGAGAAGGGCACCATGTAACATAAACAAATAGGTTATCCATCAATATCCTCCGTATAATTGAGGTGGGATTTACTGAAACAGATGTTGCACAGTACAATAATTTAAGGTATTTTCAGGCCTGGAATTATTGGGGGGGGTTGAGGAGACAACCTAGAGAGCATCCACTTTCCCACCACCCCCAGATCGGTACCGCCTGGGGCAGCCCATGCAGAATGCCCTCCCGCAGCTCACTGCTGCTGTATATACTGTCCTCTATAAGAGAAAGATGCAAACAGCAGGACACAAAGTGCTTTTTTTTTTTGCTCTCGTGGTTTAAAGTGTGAAAGCACACCCTTGAGTAGGGGCAGTCCATCTAACAGCGAGAGCTCACCCAGCCCCATGTTACTTACTGTCCTTTCGTCATCACGGTAAATCTCTCTCGCTTCCTCAAAGGAACACTTTTCTTCCATGCATTCTCGCTCTAGTGACCCCAGTTTTATCTCCTCGAAGAAGCTGTTGGCTCGTCTTTGCCTTTGCAAAACGCTGCTTGCCTCTTCCTGCTTTAGAAAGACTGAAAAACAGCGGCATGTTCTGTTTGTCATACAGCTGCGCTCTCCAGACAGAGGATGGGGGGGTGGGGGGAATTTCCCGTGAAACCTTTTCTGCTTCCCAAACTTTTTCTGAGACACTTTAGAAATGGGCAAATGTGGAAGAGCCTCCTTCCCCTGGCCTGCCTCCCAGGCAAAGTGGCAGCATGTGAATTTGCCAGAGCCCAGACTTTAAGAGAAGATGGCAAGTTACACCAGTGGTGTATGTTAGTGACTCCTAAGGTACCATCGCACGTCCCATAGCAGGTCTCAAGATGCACAGCACAGTTTCTTTCAATTCTAGCAGCTGAAAAGCCTGCGTCGCTTTATCTAGCACTGATGTACATGGCAACACCTGATTTTTCTGTACTTGCTACAGGAAATCACTTAGGGACGAGTGGGCCACCATCACCCCTTCACCCGCAGTCATATGTTCCCTCAGACCCCTTCGCTCTTTGGACCTGCAGAAGGGACTTACCCCACCACTAGTAGGCCGCAATTTAAAAACTGATGCTTTAATATATTTATCTTTAGTTTCCTTCTGCAGAACAGGCTACGTTAAGGTCCATGGGAAGGCTGGGCAATGCTGTTTGCATTTCCTAGTGGAGCCTGTGGATGGCTCCTGGCTGCTGCCAGCCACCACAGACCACAGCCACGGGGGTCTTCTCCCTGTGCATCTCTGCAGTGCTTCAGGAAGGGGCCGGGCACACAGGGTGGACAGCAGACATCAGCAGAGCTTGCTTCCTAGAGCTACGTCGACTTGCAGCTGACAGAAGTGTGCGCTGAAAGAGCCGATGCCATCGGCACGACACGGACCTGCTCCTCAGCTTCAGGATACAAGCAGGTCACACAACTATGCCCTCCCCGTATTATTCAGGATAAGGAACAAGAAGTCCCAGTGCTGCGGTGTACTTTTGCTCCACGTGCTACACAGAAGAAGTCTTGAAATAATTAATTTTGCATTTTTTTTTTTTCTCCTCCATGTCAGTAGGGGATTTTGGAGCTTTGTGGTGGTGACTTATGTTTCAGCACTTTTAACTATTTCACCTGGGATTGTGGGTAGATTTGGGGATTGCGGCTGATACATATCACCTGCCTTTCACCCTCCCTCCCAGGATAGTCTCCACTACATGACCCCTGAGAGAGCAAGAGTTGTCTCCTGTGGGCTGGAAGAGCCCTGAGGTAGTTGCTGAAGGACAAGCCTTGTGTCTTTACTCACCGACATACACACAAACATAAATACTGAGAGGGTTTATTCCAGTTTGGTGAGGTGTCTCTAAACATTTGTGTCTAGTCAGAACATTTGCTGAATTATATGTAAAATAGTGGTAATTTTTCCTATATTTTGAAGTTACCTGGAGGAATAAAATACTGCATGGTATGCACTGAATTTATCCCAGGGTGCTTCATAAATATTTGCTTATTGTAGGAATGTCAGCTGGGTCTTTCTGCCATGATTTCAAAATCGGGCTGTATACATTTACCATGCCTTTCTTTAAAGGCTTTTAATTAACCGTACACTGCAGATCAGTGCACAGGCACAGGCTCCGACAGAGGAGCGTAGCTGGGGACATCCTCCCATTTTTATTTCAGCATTCTCCACTTATTTACATTGGAACGCTTTCGACTTTACTACGTATTTTTCCAGCTTTGTTCAGTGCAGTGCAGGCGACCCAGTCAATGGCTAACTGGGAATCTGAAAGCACTGGGTCTGCTTTAGTAATGTGAGAGCTGATTTTTCAGACACATACTGGAGCCAGTGAAGAGCTACCACCTCATTGCCTTCTACTGCTGCTGAAACAGGGTGGATCCTGACCTCTAATTTCTCATCAGCTGAATGACAGGCTCTTGATTCTTTGATTTGAAAAATGCCACAGTTCAATATAAAATAACAATAAATCCAAGCTCCTTTTTTCACATAGTGAGCAATTGATGGTTTGCCTGCTGTCTGGGAGATAATAGATTCATTTAGCAGTCTAGAGGTGCTTTTCCTTAGTTGGCAAAACAAGCGCATGGATGCCATCGCTGAAAGCAAACAAGAGCCTCAGAGTAACTCACAGGCGCAACCGGCGGCAGGACAAACATGCAACAGTGCTCAAAACTTGCAATGAAAATTACATCTGACTAACAGGAGAGAGGTCCCTTGCCAGTAAACATTGCTACAGCCATACCTTATGACATACCTGCATCCAGCGAAAGAGGAATCAGTAGCAGAAAGCAGAGAAACAAAACCACACACTGCCTGGAAACCATGATGAACCCTGCGAGCCAGTGTCCTGGTAGTGTATTGACATTTCAGCGGGGACTGTTTGGCCAAAGAGCTCAGCTTCAAATGCTCGGAGCCAGAGGAGGGGCTGGCGAGTCATGGAAACAAAAAAAGATCCCAGACAGCCGGGTGAGCTGAGCAGAAGCGGGGAGCTGGGCTTTGCAGCGCGCTCTCCTGACCTGTGCACGGGCTGTTTGCACAGGCGGACACCCTGGGCCTGCAGTTCCCATCTCGTGCCTTTTTCATGAGAAGCACAGATGCCGAGAGCCTGTGTCTGTACGACTGGCCCTAACTTGGCCATGTAACCCCGCACGCAGAGAGCGGCGACGTGATATATTTCTCTTGAATCGGCAGTCAAGATACGGCCTTCCAGTGCTTCGGAGTATGAGCGAACCACTGACATCTGCCTGTTCCTATTTCTCTGTCACGAGTTGAAACTCTGCACTCCTGACTGAGTTTACTTGGAGACACTAATTAACCAGCAAGAGTCACCCTACACTGCTTCTCTCCATCTGTACTGCAAGACCCGTGTGGCCTGCACAGGTTGTACCTAGGGGGAAAGGCACTGAGCTGTTCCACTTTATGTTTCATTAGTAGCAACAGGGATTTCAGGGGCTAAACTGCAGAGATTGTTTTATCTGGAACATAAGCAGTCTTCTGATTTAATGGAAATCAATTAGTGGCATCAGAGTAGAGAGTTGACAATATTCTTGGGGAAATATTTACTTAAGATAGCAGTGAGGTAAAGAGCATGTTTGCCTATGAGAAGTGAAGCGTTGCTTGAGGGCTGGAGTATTTTCCAGGCCATTTTCCTCTTCCTGCGTGGAAGGGAAGGAGGGGCAGCTCTGCGTCTGAACTCTCCAGCAAAGAAAAGCGACAGCTGGAGTTTTACTTTGCTGCCAACGCTCAGCGTAACTCCCTGCAGAAGTTGTGATTGCGTAGGAAAGCCGGGCTCCCGCCCGCTCCTCGCGTGCCACCCTGCTATGTGGTGCAGCCGGATGGCCTGCTCTGAATTGGCTTTCCCAAGAGGAGGCATCTGGGCACTTCTCTGGATCGCAGCCTGGCTAATTCCCAGCAGCCCAGTTCCTGGGACGGTGTCGTGGTTTGAGCCTGGTCGACAGCCAACCACCACGCAGCCACTCTCTCTCCCTTCCCCTCAGGCAATGAGAAGGGACAGAGAGCCAGGCTTGGGGTCCAAGATAGGACTGGGATGGGGGAAAATCCCCCTTCATGGTCACGAGCAAAAGGCAGACTTGTTAGGGGAAGAGCAAAAAGAACATACATTTATTACAGACACTGACAACACATAACAGAGTAGGGCAGTGAGAAGCATTGCCACATCTTGAGAACACCTTCCCCCCACCCCTCCCTTCTTCCAGGGCTCAGCTCTGCTCCCGATATCTCTGCCTCCTCCCCCAGGGGCGCAGGGGCAGGGAATGGGGGGTGCAGTCAGTGCTGCCGCTGCTTCCATCTTCGGTGGGGGGAGCTTCTGGAACTTCTTCCCCCTGCTCCATCGTGGTCCCCCTCTCACAGGAGACAGTCCTCCACAAACTTTCTCCAACATGAGTTCCTCCCACAGGCCGCAGCATTCCCCACACTGCTCTGTCATGGGTCACCAACTTTCTCCAACTGGATTCCCTCCCACGGCTGCAGCCCTTCCCGAGCTGCTCCGGCGTGGGACTCCCCCGCATGCTGCAATCCTCCCAGCTCTGAATTACAGCAGCGGGGCTGCCTTTTCCCACAAGACCGCGGCCTTCTTCGGGCACAGCACCTTGATCAGGCGGAAGCCACAGGCCATAAATCGATGTCTGCTCCACCGTAGATCTTCATGGGTGGCAGGGGGGGCCGCCCTGCCATCTCACCACAGGGTACAGGGGGGTCTCTGCTCCGGCACACCTCCCCCCTCCTTTCTTCCTCCGTTCCTCCACTGACCTTGGTGTTCATGCAGCTGCAGCAACTCCTCCTCACAAGTCCCACTGCCCGTCACCACGTCCCTTCTTAAATACATTATTGCAGATGCGCAGCTGATGGGCTCAGTTTCCAAACAGAAGTGGAGCTGGCTTGGAGCTGGGGGAGCTTCGAGAAGCTTCTCACAGGGGGCCGCCCCGATAGCCCCCTCCCCTGCCACCGAAAAACTCCACCACTCACTCAACCCAGGACAGACGGTCAGGGACGGGTGGCAGCTCCTGTCCTGGGGCAGAGGAAGGAGGCTGGTTACTGGAATAAAAAAGGAGCTACAGAAGCCCCACGCTGTCCCCATCTCTGCTTTTTGGGAACCCTCTCCACACTTCATAGCTTGCCAACATGATCCTCATTCCTCATTCTCTTGCCTACAGCAGTGAGTTGAAAACAGCCAGGGCATATTTGGCTTAGCAAGACCAAAGCTAAGCTTGTTGGAGATGCTTGAAAATTTCTCTTGCCTCCTTGTTTCTCCGTGCCTCCTGCACCTGAGGCCAGCCTGGGCCTGCACTTTTTGCCCCCCCAGCCGTGGTTCCTTCGGCAGGGTGGGTATCATCCCCCTGCCAGGGACGATGGCGTGGCTGCCACTCTACAGCAGCATCACGGCACCTCTGCACCACCCCACCCCTTCGCTTTCTGCTCTTCTTCCTTTGTAGTGTGCAGATCCTGTACGTCCTTTAAGTCTGCTTTTCTTTTATTGCTTGGGAATACAGCCAAACACTCAGTTATTATTTTTAGAGCCCAGGGAGAAGCCCAAGTGCTGGGAACAACAGTCAGTTCATATGGAGACAGTCCTTCTTCCAAGGAAAATTAATGCAATTAGGTTTCATCGGGGATGACCATGCCCATGAAGAGGATCACTGGGGATTCAGCAGTCCCAGGACTTCATTACAGCTTTTCGCTCATGAACTTCATATTCACAGATCTCACCTCAAAGCGGTTTCCTACTAACTTCACCCGGGCCAGTTCTTTGGTTAGAGATCTGTTTTTAAAGAAGAGCTCCCCTTCCTTATTGTCTCAGACCCCAACCAGAGGAGTAAACGTCAGTTTGCTAGCTTTTCTTCCCCAGAAGATCCCTAAGTCTTACTTTGTTTTTCTTCTTGTGTGGTCTTGCTATAGTTCATGAGAATTGCCCTGGTATTCTGCTCTAGAAATCTCATTGCTAGTGCAGGCTTCAGTCTTGGCTTATGTTTTCTGAGCAGTTCCAAGAAAAATAATCTGCTGTTCAATGAAAAGTGAATATATATTAATGCAAAGATTCTGCTGCTTATGGGTGCTACTAGAATCAGTTTGGGGACAGCTGTTCAGAAAATATGATTTAGAGTATTTTTTAGTGTATGGTCTAGATGTGCCAAAGTTGCTTTATTTCAAAAAAACCCCTATGTTAAAATTATTAAACACGAAAAATTATAACATAGTGAAATAAAAAAAATCTAAAGAAGAAACATTAGCTGGGAAGACATGATGAACTGATGTCTTAGAACATCTTTATTTTGGTTTTGTTCCTTACTGACATTTTTCAAAGAAAAAAACTCTTACAATTTTGATATTTTTAGTTTCATATTTTCAGTTGAAAAGACGACAGATATGGAAGCTGTTGGGAACTCTGCAACTTCATCTCATCCAACAGGTCAGCGGTCATTTAAATGCGAGCCTTCTAGTCAGCATTCAGGAACAATGTAAAAATATAAATCAATGACTTCTGTTTCAAAGAGGCCATAAGAGATCATTTGAGTAAGCTGACCAGGCTGTGTCTGGGCAAGAAAAGTTTAGAAACAAGCCGCCTCATGATTTTGTGAAAAATTCAATTTAAAACTCAAATAACAATAGTAACTACCCATCATTAATTTCTCAGACTAATTAAGCACAAGCCAAGCCTGTGATCAAGTTAATAATTTCCTGTTTCTGTTGTACAAATCTATAAATCTACAAATATCATGCTGCTAATCTTTAAAGCAAGTGATTTGGGGTTTTGACCTCAAAAGAGAACTGTTTCTTTCCAGGAGAAGATTACTTGCCTGCTTGACTGAGTTCTATATCCCCAGACAGCAATTATTCTCATAAAGAGGAAGTAGAAGATGGGGACATAATACTTTTGATAACTTTTGTGATCAGCTCGGAATACAAGTGCTTAACATTTTATTTTACTTTTTAATCTTGATGCGGGTTCTTCTCTTGCTGCCTGAAGAGAAGGATATCTGAAGCTACCTAGATAGAAAAGGAGGCAAAAGACATAGAAAAGGCAGTGCAAAATAAATTTATAATAAAGGCAATGTGCCCCAAAGTTAGTTTGTTTAACGCCACCTATCTCAGTTGGTGATGAGAGACATTAACTCCACTACAGACCTTCTCTTGAATGAGTCCCAAGACCATCACAGCTGCAACAGCACCACTAGTAAATCTGTGGTCTTTTAAATGCCCCTGGGAACCATGCTGTCTTGTCAATTGATGTGCAATGAATAAATATAAAAATGTGAAAGGTGATTTATGGGTTCACATCAATTGATTTGCCAAAGACAGTATTTCAGCACCAAACCAGCTAATCTAAGTAAATAAATAAAAATTCAGAATAAAACCGCAAAACTTGATCCTTGATTTTCTACCACCATCTTTAGGCTGTTGCTGGTACGGGCGGCGCCGGCCAGGGCCGCTCTTGGGCGAGGTGCAAAGATGCCTAGCAAGCAAATTCTCTTCTTGTTTTAACTGCGATAGGGACTTAACGCAGTGGGCGATTTTGGCCGGTCTCCGCAGGGTCAGAGCCACGGAGGAGCTGGCAGAGCTCCTCGCGCTTTGCCCTTGCCCCGGCTGCGACTCGGCCTCCTCGGGAAGGGCTGAGGGCCTCATCTCATGCCCTGCTAGGTGGGATGAGGAAACATTGCCACTTTGTCTCGCAGCCTGCTTTTTTCTGTACACCACGCCGTTTTTTTTTTTTTTTTTCTCTCGAGGATTTGTCTGGACCTAATGCTGCCCCTGGATTTTTCAAAAAAGGGCTTGAGCTTTGGGTGAGGACACTTTGCTACAGTCACCTTTCAGACTGAGC